CTTAGGATTCATCTTCCACACAGTGGACTGTGATATGTGCCATGGAATTGATCTCCTGCACCTTAGTTTGCTTTTCTTCCAGTTGAGGATAGTCAGTATAAGGCAGAGAATTTATACCAATTGTTCTTACTTTACCCATCCTCCAGAGAGGAAAACTGTATCTTAACTTTAAAGGTTCAAAGGGAAAATTATCTCTGAGGTCCTTTTTAAGTCTTTTACAAACAATGTGTCGTTCTCCTTGCTTTAAAAACAACCTTATTGTTAACAGGGATCATTCCTTCGAACCAAGGTAAAATTGCCACAGAATGGATTAATGGATTAATTGACTTAGTTAAAATGCCCATTGTAAACTAAATAGGAAACACACCTTCATATAGGGATAATTTTTATAATAGCCCCATCCTGTAGTGACTGATCCACTGTCATGTCATTAACTTGACATACAAGGAAAGAAAGTTGCCACCTGTTTTATAATTTTCTTATTAAATTGATCGCTGTGTGTTATTAAACTTGCTTTAAGGAATTGGTAGGCTTAAAATATCTTCAAGACTAAATAAAAGTAATACTTAATGATATAATTATATAAAGTTAGCATTCTCTCCTCTGTGTCTCTGCTTTGTGTGTTTTTGTTTTAAATTTTTAGTTATATTTTCTGTTTTAGAATGTACCTTGAGTAAATTGAAATCCTTACATTATTTAAATCAATTGCCTGTAAACTTGAATTGCAGCGAAGTCTGAGTAATACCGAAGATGAATGTACCCACCTGAAAGAAATGAATGAACGGACTCAGGAAGAATTAAGAGAATTAGCCAATAAATATAATGGAGCAGTTAATGAGATTAAAGATTTATCTGATAAATTGAAGGTATGTATTAACTCAACCTGAAAGTAATTAAGTTAATTGGCTCTAGCACACTGGATAGCTTAAGAATTTAGGTATTGCTAAATAGTTGCTGGTGTAAAATTTGGTAATGGTTGAAATTTATGGTAAAAATAAGGTGCTTATATTTCATTTAGCCCAAACCCCATTGCCATAGATCATTGAAAGTCTATCAAAGCTGGCATAGTTCTTTGGATGGAAATCAATAGTACTTGACAATAGGCAGCAAAACACAGGAGACTCAGACTTTTTTTTAAACTTGAACCTGCTTGTCTTTAGGCAGTCCCAAAGTAGGACCCAGCTGTTAGTGCTGGACCAAGCCCAGAAAGAACTTTGGAGTGATCTGCCTAAATAAAGTGTGTAGCTTCCTAGGGATGCTTTTGACTCTGCTTCAGCTTCAGTTCTCTGTAGCTATAGGACATGTAGGATAAGGACAAACCAAACCATACATAGTAGCAAGTTGGTCCTTTAAAATGTTATAACTAAGTTTGTGAAGACCCATCTTTCTATCATTCAAACCATGGATTGAGTGGCTAGAAAAGACATTTGTTAGAGCATACCTCCCCTCTTATGTGATTGGTTAACCTATAGTAGTTTCAAAGAGGTTATTTTGAAAAGTGCTTGTAACCATTATTTCTTTAGTAAACATAATTGTGTTTGAAATTTCAGAACAAGTTATATTTTAGAACTTACAAACTAATTGCAACAATAGTAACCTCATAGGAAAACCTTATTACCCTCTTTAAAAATTTGTTTTCCATTTTGACTGCTTTATTTCTGTGTGCTGAGCCTGCTTGCTTGCTGCAAGTTGTCTTTTTCCCTAGGTGATGTGGAGGTATGACCACATTGCAGATCACTTTTGACATCATTTTAATATTTACAAATATGTTCTATGATATTGAATATTCTCCTTAGAAGTTTCATGACTAAAAACAGTTCTGCTTTAGGTTTCTTAAAAGAAGTTAAGATTTGATTAAGTAACTGAATTTTCTGTTTCTTTCTCAACAGGTAGCAGAGGGAAAACAAGAGGAAATCCAACAGAAAGGACAAGCTGAGAAAAAAGAATTACAGCATAAAATAGATGAAATGGAAGAAAAAGAACAAGAACTCCAAGCAAAAATAGAAGCTTTACAAGCTGATAATGACTTCACCAATGAAAGGCTAACAGCTTTACAAGGTAATTTAGCTAATCCAGAAATTGACTTAATTTGATTTTTTCCCCTTTTTATCTGTGAAATATCTTTTTCTTGGACTTTTATTTACAGTACGGTTAGAACATCTTCAGGAGAAAACTCTTAAAGAATGCAGCAGCTTAGGTAGGTGTCATCAAATTTCTTAATTAAAGCTGAATTTTATCATTAAACTATTGATGCTTGCTATCTCACATTGGGTACTTTTTTTTCTTTTAGAGTGATGTTTTACATATTATGTATAGAGCATCTACACTCTTTCAGAAAATTTCCTTTAAAAAGATGCTTGATGGCCACCAGTGGGCACCATTGTTTAGTTTTTTGAGATGAATGAAAATTTCCCTCTGAGACATATCACTTAGAGATATTTAAATGAGAAAAATACATAAACAGCAGGATCCTTTTTAATTTTTTTGTGGTTCCTTGCAAAACTACTAAACAGCTGTAGCCTTTTCTCTGAGTTGCTAGAAGATGGCAAGTTGAACACTTCTTGTACAAATAAATTAAAGTGTTCTATACAGTCTTAAGTAGGATTACAAAATGCCATGGTTACACTTGAGACCAGTTTTTAAGTAATGCTTTCTTTGATCAGGCAATGATACACTGTCTTAATCCTAGGGATACAAGTTGATGACTTCTTACCTAAAATAAATGGGAGCACAGAAAAAGGTAGTGTAAAAAACTTAAATATTTTTCTTTCATGATATCCTTTTACTATTTAAAGCAGGATAGAGAGGTCAGGACTTTAAGGTTTTAAGTGTTTGGAATGAAAAGCATGCTTTTCAGAGACCATTGGATCCCTTTGTTTTGTAATTCTTAATGCTTCAATCTATAGTTGGGTATCCTTTGTTATATGGAAATTTTAGTTATTCAAATAATAAGAAAATAATATAGTTTTTCCCCCCATTAAATTTTTCAAATAACTATAATTTTCTTTCATCAAGTACTGCTCCTGGGGATAATTGGCCCCCCATTTTTAATATTTGTGCCCCAGCCAAGAGTTTATTTAATAGCCCATTGAGCTCTTGGGCATATCATAGAAACTGCTTTTTCATTCATTTGTTTCATTGATCAAAGAAAACAAGGTCATTTATTTCTGCCATCTGAAAAAAAAATTCTTTACTATTTCTTGGTACTATAATCCTTCTTTCTGGATAGTTTGGGTTATCTCTTGCCAAGATTTTATAACTACTATTGGTTTCCTTACTACTACTACAATAGGGTACTTTTACCCAATAGCTTCGAAATTCCTTCAGACATTCACAATCCTCCCTTCCCCACCTCTCCAACATTAATTGAGTACTAAATATGTGCCAGATTCTGCATTAGATGCTTAGAGTGCAGAATAAATAAAATTGTTTTCTCTGTTTGCAAATCTATGTGCCTCTCAGCTCAGTTTTTATACAGAAAGGAGTTAGTGGAAGATAGCAAGATTGATACCCAGAACTTCTTATTAAATAGTTTTTTTTTTCCATGTATCAGGGGATATCTTTATAGTTCTTGGGCAGCAGCCAAACTCTGATAAAGTTAGGAGGTACTTTTTTGGTTGTTTTTTGTTTGGTTGTTCGGTTTTTAATCACTTGCTGGAAAAATATGTTCAGGTAATTATGTATATGTAAACTGCAAGGTCAAGATCTAAACATTGAATATATAATGAATTTTGAGACTAAATTTTTTAAAGTTTTAATAATCATTGTTATTTGACTACTCTATATATTTTGCAAAATACATTGACACTTTAAAATTCCAGTTTAATTGAGTTTCAACTTAAAAATTTTTAAAGGTGTAGTTTATATTCATTGTACCAATATTACTAATTTCAGTTTTTTATATATATTTAGCAAAATAGGTAAAATGACTTAATTCTTATCTTCTAAAAGCTTGTCATCCTTAAATGAATTTGTTTTCTGTTATTATTTTGCCTCTTTCTGGCATGTACACTATTTATTCAAGTCCATCACCTTTTTATTTGAGCATGCATTTGTTAATATTAGTGTTAACTCAAGCTGAGAACATTCTAGTCCTTCAGTTAAAAGAATCCTTTTGTATATACTGAACCATCTTTATATTATTTAGAGTTGTCACATTACTGCTTAAATATTCTTGCCAGTTCCAATAGATGTATATGAGAACAGTTGGGGACAACTCCTTGATTTAAGACTGAATGAGGTATTTTGGGTACTTTAAGGTATTCCTTGTTATAATTATTTTTCCCTTGCTGGCGTGTTTGTTTTTGTACTATTGATAAATTGGGTAGTGTGAAAGTGACTAATTGAATGTCTTTAAAGAAACGGAGGCCCTGGTGGGGTAGGTCAATCGGCTAGAGCATCGTCCTAGTATGTCAAGGCTGTGGGTTTGATCCCCAGTCAGGGCACATACAAGAATCAACCAACAAATGCATCAGTAAGTGGAACAACAAATAGATGTTTCCTCCCTTCCTCTCTGTGTAAAAGTAGTAAGTAAATAAGTTTTAAAAATTTTTTTAAAGAAGCTTAGTAGTGAATATCTGGATATGTAAAAAGTTTCATTACACCAGATTTAGTTACAGAGTAGATTCTGGAATAAGATGGATCTATTCTGAATCATTTGTAATAAAATAACAAACCAGTTATCAAGTTCTCAGATTTACCAAAACCCATAGATAATGGGCTATTAGATATGATTTTAACTAAAATTACTCTTTAAATGGTAGTAAGACAACCGAATATAGATGTAAGAGAATATTTCAAAAATGGCTAGGGATCTTAAAGATTAAAACTCCTTCAGTAAACCCCATTTTTGAAATTAAATCTAACATAGTTGCTATAAATACAGGTTTATACTATAAATGTTTAAATATCTAATAAGCATAAATTGAACATATTTTAGTGGCTATAGAAAAGCACTGTCTAATACAATTATTGTGAGAGGCACATGCATAATTTCTTTCCCCTGTAGCCATTTTCAGACACCTTTATGACTTCTGTGTCTTTAAGGTTTGTAACATGGCTTTACTATTGCCAGCTTTCTCTAAATTTCTGCAGAAATATGACAGCCACATACATAATTTAAATTTTTTTGGTCACTACATTTTTTAAAAATATATTTTATTTGATTATGCTATTACAATTGTCCCATTTTCCCTGGTCACTACATTTAAATATAGAAAGAAACAGGTAAATTTTTCAAAATTTTTTTAGTATGGTTAATTTAACCCACTCTATCCAAAATATTACTTAACATGAGTTAATATTAAAAGATTATGAGTGAAGTATTTCACATTCTTTTTTTCTTAATAAGTCTTTGAAATCAGTCTATTTATTTCATACTTAGAGCACATCTCACTTTATAAGGGCTCAGTAGCCACATGTACCTAATGGCTACTATAATGGACAACACAGGTATAAAAAATCAAAATTGATAGGAAACTCATATGTAGAAATAAAACACATTTTAAGTATTGTGGTTCTCTGTTATGTTTCTGTATTTGTCTTTTTCTTTATTCCTCAACCCTATTTAGTATCATAAACACACTCCCCTCCCCCACTTCTTTTGGATTATCAGTGACATCTTTTATAGTTTTGGCAAAGTGAGTTCCCAAGGGCCAGAGTTCAAGTAATAGCGTATTAAAATGCCGTGATCCAAATCTTTTACATACATTATCTGAAAGACATTTCTCTCACATTTCTTAGGAAATGCCTTTGTGCAAGTCATATATGTAATTATCTTTTCATATAGTCTTGCATTTTATCTAAACTGGTGTAGCAAACATTTTAATATAGGATCCTGCTATTAAAATCAGAGTAGATGAAAGGATAATTTTTGGCTTGGTGACTCATGGTAGGATGTCCTGCATTAATAAATGTCATGTAAAGTCCTATGATGTTAGTGTGGAATTTGATTTTAAATAAGTTTTATAAAGTCCTTTAGTTAAAATTTGGTTTCAAATGAGTTTTCATATTTAACAGTGATGTTTATATAGTTTGAGTTCTAAAATGTTATAGCTTAGGTAGGAGTTATGTAAAACAACTTTTTCTATCTTAGTACTTACTATTCAAGTGAGGACTTCTGTCTTGGATTTTTTTGGCTCCAATTGGCAAATGCTATTTATTAGCCCTTTTTTTTAAATTTCAAATTTCTGTGGCAGTTAGTCTGTTTTTTTCTTTTTCTTTTTGGGGCTATATTGTATCTTTAAGCATGTAATGCATTGGTCTTAAAAACATGAGTTTTATTAACCTTTCTTCTCATGTTTTTGTCTTGTTCCATAGTGACTGTAGAATGGAGGCTCTGAACACATGTATCGAGATAAAGAACAGTGATACATTTGAGTATGAAAGTGAAGAAGGCTATCAGTAAGGGTGTCAAGAGAGGCTAACAAGTGATCAGAGTAGGAGATGCCTGCCTCTCAAGCAAAGTTGAGATGAAGAGGGTGGAGGTGGGTTGAGATGGAGGAGAAGAGAAAAAGGGCTTTTATAGAGTGATATTAACACATTGTCCTCTTTGACAGGTTTTGGTGCTTTCATACCCTCTAGATAGTCATCATGTTGGAGTATGTTTTTTAACAGTTACCTTTGTAAATGTATTTGGTAATTATGAAAGATAGAAATGTATAATTGAAGGATGTTATCCACACTTAGAAATTAACTCTTTGAATCAAAGTAAAGACTATAAAGGGCTAAAACTTTATTAAACTACTGTGTTAGATTTTAATTCTCTGCATCCATAAAAAAGTTCTCTTTGACCTGAGGAAAACTATTTACCAAGCTCTTCTTTTTAAATGTGCAGACATTAATTTTAATCATTTGGACAAAGATAAACAATGTAGTGTTTTGATTGTATACGAAGTACACACATTAAGTGACTCAAAAGGGAGACTGAAATGAAAGTGTAAAAATTAAAATAGCTGCATCATTTTCTTTGAAATCTTAAGGCATTGTTTTATGGTATTCTTAAAGTACCTTTTCCTCTTACTAAGATGAGTAGTTTTGAAGAGGAACTGTTAGAGAACAGTCATTTGAAAATTCAGTAAGAATAAATGTAAAATTTTGAAATTACTTAAGGTTTTTTATTAAGCTCTCATGGAGAAAAGTGTATTTGAAAAGTGTTAACAAACTTTTTAAAGCAATATACTTCTATGGTTTTCTTGAGCACTTTGGATAGAAACTGCACCTTTAAAAGCTAACCATTCAGGGTATAACTCAATGATTACGTAAGTACAATTTTAAGTCATTTCACTTCATTTAACTCTAAAATATGTCTACTCTTAGTATTAAAATATATTAAACTTTTATTAAGCTCATTCAGAGTTACCCATGTTGAAACATTTCAGTTTTTCTACCTTTGCTGTTGATTTTCAAAAACAGCAACAAACTATATCCTTAAAGGTGTTTCTTTCTTTATTAGAGCACTTGCTTTCAAAGAGTGGCGGGGACTGCACTTTTATTCATCAATTCATAGAATGCCAGAGTGAGTACAGAGTATTTTTCACATCGATTTTAATGAAGTCAGAGGCTATAATTGAAAAATGAGAGGAAAATGAAGGTCTCAATGTGTCTGTTATTTTAGTAGTACACAAAGGACCATCTTCAGACAGCACTGAACATTTTCTTACTGTTTATGTTTCTGTCTTTTGAAAAAATATTTCTGTTGCATTCACCTTCACATATGGAGATGAACATTTCATATTGCCCACAAGAAAAAGATAAAGTTTCAAGTTTGTTAATTAAAAGTCATTATTAATCCCTAGCTGATGTGGCTCAGTGGATTGAGTGCTGGTCTGTGAACCGAAGGGTCACTGGTTCAATTCCCAGTCAGGGCACATACCTGGGTTGCAGGCCAGGTCCCAGTAGGGGGTGCATGAGAGGCAACCACACATTGGTGTTTCTCTCCTTTTCTTCCTCTCTCTCTAAAAATAAATAAATAAAAATATTTTACAATTTTATTATCAAACAGGGAACAGAAGGTCACACACCTAAACTTAAGAGATATTAATAACCTTAATCTGTTTTACTTAAGTTTTAGTTCTGTCACAGATACGGATTTTGAGGTTCTTAAATAAAGTTCTTAAATAAAGCACAAAATAATTATTTAGTTTGGGCACTCAGATGTGGAGATGACCCTTAGGGTAGCCAGACCTTTCTAGGGAAGGAGTAGCAACAGATTGTCCTGTAGTCTGACATTCTACTGCCTCCCCGTGGGAAGCTGTACAAGGTTATCTTTAATAACATTTTAAAAAATAATATCTTTCCTGGCCAGGTGGCTCAGTTGGTTGGAGTGTTGTCCTGTACACCAAAAGGTTGTGGGGTTGATCCCTGGGCAGGGCACATACCTAGCTTTCGAATTCTTCCATCTGTGCCCAGTTGTGCCTGGTTGGGGCAGATATGGGAGGCAGGCAGTGGGTGTTTCTCTCTGTCTCTCCCTCCTTCTCCTCTTTCCATCCTCTCTTCCACCTTCTGTCTCCCTTCTCTGTCTAAAATCAATTAATATATCCTCAGGTAAGGACTTAAAAAAAAACAATAGTATTTTATAGATAGATCGGTTGGCTTTTGAGGTGATTTAGACCTCTGCTGAATTCTGAACAGAGTATTGTAAATTCCCTCTGTCCTGAAAATTATGTGGCTGTTTACATTTGTAATAGTCACACAGTTGAGATATTCTCTTAATCTTGTTAGTGACAAAGTTACTACTTGTAGTAAAGTTCATTGATGATATCTGATTTTTCCTGTCAGACACACAGTCAGGCATTTTTCTTTTCTTTGCTCTCTTTTTTAGAAAAGAGTGGTTTTCAAACTTTTTATGCTCGTGAATTCATTTTGTGGGTGTGCTCACATGTGTGGTGTGCCTCCCCACCCACCCCATCTCAGAGCACTTGGGGCTTATAAGAGTTACATCTGGTAATTATAGCAGACACAAACTCAACGGATCAAATGTCATACTCTTTAGAGATGCTTTAAGGGATTTCTTTAATAGTTTTAGAAGAGCTTCTGGTTTTGTCCATTTTAAAAACTATAAGATTGAGGCAAATTATTTAATAAATAGGACCTATTTTTTGTCCTTTCAATCTGTTTTGAAAAAATGTTTCTCATAAAGCAAAAATAAGTGCATCTTTTTATCTTTTTATTACTAATACTTTGCAGGAAATTGGCACAAGAATTTGGGGCAAAATAATTGTTACCCACTGAAACTAACTAAAAGCAATATATATATATACTACAAAAGCAGTATATGTAGTATAAAATATAAATCTTTAGGAGAATAATTTTATACTTAGTTTTATTGTATGTAAACATTTTTTAATATTTTTATTTTGAATTTTTGGGATTTATATTTTGAGCTCAACAAATGAAAACAAAATTATCAAAAGAATGTTTTACTAAGTTGAAATTTGCAAAAATCATTTAAAACATTATAAAATTTGTAAAATACTTAGCTGTAGTTAATGCAGAGCAAAGTTTGTTTTAAAGAAAAAGATGTTTGGAGACTTCTTCGGCATCATCATTTCAGGTAGAAAATGGACCAAACATTCAGAGGTAGAACAGAAGTCATGTAAATTATAGCAATCCCCTCAGTTGGAATAATAGCCAATACAGTGTTTACAGGGACTATGTAATGGCCTGGGAAAATTATAAATGTGATCATTAGAGGTGGGGTTGGGGATAAGACTATAAAATCCTGTACTTGTGGACAAAGTGTAAACCAAAGAATGGGAAAAAGAAAAAGTATTTCTAGACATTTGAATCCATTTGATTGCTAACTGCAAATAATGAAAATTGGACTGTAAGCTCAGGTAGCTAGGGATATTGTCCATTATAGAAATCTGTTTAGTTCCTGAGTTTCAGTAGCAAGAGGCTAGTTAATAACGATATCCATTTACATTAAAGTTTTCCAAACCTGTTTGGCTCCTTAAATTTGGATAGCCAGAGTTGGCATAGTAACAGTTACCTCTAGTTCGATTTTTTGTCACAAAGGAGATTGTAGTTTTTTTATGGCAAGCTGTCATTATAGAAATTGTGTTTAATAAGTGTAATGTCAAGCAAAGCAATTTCAGCAAAAATCTTCCTCAAGTGACCTCCTGA